GTGTGTTTTGCGTTTGGGCAATCGCCTACCTAAGGAGACGGAGTCTGCTTCTCTGCATAGACTACAAAGTTGCTAGTAAGTCTCAGCTTGAGTTTCTCTTGTAGCCGATGTGCAGACACTTGACATAGAAACAGCTCTTCCGACGTAGCCGCCTGGACTTTTTAGCAGAACCTAATGCCCCGAGAAGAAGAGAGCACCTGGAATCCATCCTGGTGAGGAGAAAGGCTGTGGGAGTAGCTACGTCTTGATCCCGGAGGCAGCAGTGGTCTCTGGGATTGAGTGAAACTACCGCCATGTCTGCAGTTGGTGGTACTAAGGTCATGCTGTGATGTCTGTACCTAAATGGTGGCTGCAATGAAATGCTGATGGGAAGATTGCTATGGCCTCATCTTTGGTACTTCCGGCTGTTCAGGTTTCCCATTTGCTTCTCTGGATCTTCCCAGAATCTCCTCAAAAAGATTCTTTGAGCTATTAATATCCTTTACTACTTAAATTAGCTAATTTGAAATATTTACTTCTCAGACACACAATTGATACCAAGAAAGTGTATAGGCAGTGGGGTCTTGATAGGATCAGCTCTGTGGCATGAGAGTGGTCCTTTGTCCCTGCCTGGATTGCCTCTGAGCCTTGGTCTCTGATCCTTCTGAACATCTCTGATCTTTATAATATTCTTTAAATTCACCTCTTTTCTAATTAAATTAAATATATATGGCTTTGGCTATTTGCTGAAAGATGGTGAAAATGCTCAAAGATATAATTGTAACTACTTGCGAGTAGAATCACAAAATGACAAATCTGTTGCTGATTAAAAACATAAACATCTTTTATTATTTATAGTTTGATACTAACTCTAGAGTTTGAACTAATAGAAAAATTGATATCTGGATGTTATTACAAGTTAATCTGTTTTTGTTTGGTAAAAGCATTTGATATTAATAGACCTTAAAGAAAATACTTATTAGATATTTTACAGTGAAACAGTTAAAAAAATGATTATTTTATCCCCAAATATTAATGTCTCAGAAATTTTCATTCCTGAAAAATATTTTGGTTAATTTTCCTGTCTATATATATTTCCAAATTTTATGTTCAATTATTATGGGATCATGACAGTTAACAAAGTATCAAAAGATTGCATAGAAATATAATATCTTTCCATAAAAATCGTTTTGGTTCACACCTTATCTTTTAGTTCTGCAAATGTTATATATTTTAGCAATAAGATCTATAAAAGTTTACATCATCATATTAAAAATACTACTTTTTTGCTGAACTTTATTATTTTTTATTTTTTTATTTTTTAAAGATTTTTATTTATTTATTTGACAGAGAGAGGCACAGCGAGAGAGAGAACACAAGCAGGGCGAGTGGGAGAGGGAGAAGCGGGCTTCCCGCAGAGCAGGGACCCTGATGCGGGGCTCGATCCCAGGACCCTGGGATCATGACCTGAGCCGAAGGCAGGCGCTTAACGACTGAGCCACCCAGGTGCCCCTGAACTTTATTATTTTTTAAAAGAAGTGCATAAAATATGCACTATTCTTTAGAGTAAAATCAGTTTTTTTCCTTCGCCTTATTGTAGTTCAAATGATATGATGATAATTTAAATTTCAATTATAAATTTAACTGTATAATTGATCAATTTTGAAAATCCCTCTAAAGTATACATCAAATTGATTAGGCCAGAAATTAAGAATTTAAGGAGTGCCCTCTGCTGCATAAATTTGTGTGCAATGTCCTCAGTGCTTGCTTGCATAGAGTCACAAATTTTTTTTTCATGAAGCCATACTAAAAATAAAAATATACAAGCATCACATTACCACCAAATACATGTTTATGAATTGCCTGTCCTTTCACTTCTCTAACTTGTACCATTTTTGTAATAAAAATACATAATTTTATTTCAGTAAACTAATAAATATTAGTTATTGCATTTAAGATGCATACTTGAAGAGATAAATAATATTCTTTTAAATATTACTAATTTGCCTTTAATAAGGAATAGGAATCTTTTTTATTTTAATACACTTGGGCAAAATTCTATTATTTTTATTTCATGAACTGGCTTTGACTACTTATTCTAAGTCTAGGTGTAATCTAGATATAATTATATCTTTAGAATACATCTATGTTTCTCTATAACTAAGATTAAAAGTTTAATTAATATATAGTTGAAGTGTTCTTCTTGAACCTCTTATAAAATTCTTGAAAGAATATTTACCTCAGTACTTTTTGATGACATTTTTGAGAATCAACATTTATTCTACAGTAATAGTAAATCATTTTTATGTCAATGTGAGTCTTTTGCTAACATTATCATTTGATTTATTAAAGTGTAATGTTAAAAACTGATAGTGATTTCTGAACATGTATGATCTTGAATTTGTAAATTTTAAAATGTAGACTTTTTTCAAATTTTCAAATAAATTTTTATTGTGCTTATTACACAAATGTAGTTAATTAATATCCTTTAATAAAATCACTTTATTAATTTGCTATATTCCTTTTCCTTTTTAAAATTTTCAGTCCCTGACAAAAAAAGATTCCCATGTTCTTTTCATGCAACTCTAGTAAATTAAAATTATAAATATGGTGATTCTTAAACATTCCAATGAAGTTTAAACTTAGTGAAATTTTCTTATATTTTGCAACTTAAATTTACAAGTCTAAGTCAATACGCAATTTCTTTTAAATATTCAAATGTGCCTAATCATCCAAAAACCTTAAAATTATCCAAATGCCAAATATGTAACATATCTTAATGTACAGTGATTTTTACATGTTCTGTTTAAGTGTGACACCAAATATTAGTATTTGGCAATTTGTTCATTATTTCTATACTTAATCCCATTCTTCTTGAAATCCCAAACATAGTCACTCAGGATAAAAATAATATCTTGGTAAGTAACTTGGGTGTCATTAGCTGGCTGGGTCTGCTTATCTATCAGGATTTTGGGCTGAGGTTGTTAATCTGGAGCTGTGGACATTTATAGACAGTGTTCATAGAACATAGACTTTTATATCAAGCCCTTTTGTTTGTTAGTTTTAATATACTTATTGTTAATAAGGCATTCAAAATTATAGTCATAAATGGTGCTGGTGTTTTTGCAACCTGAGTCTTCTGAGGTTAAACTCTAACTAATTCTCACATGTTCTCTTCAATTCTATGGCTTGGTTCATGCAAATATAATTATATAACTTTTTAATAAGCTGTTTATCCATTGATTGGATTAAACTAATATATTTATGACCTAATTCTACTTTAAATTATTTTCATAGTATCGCTACCTGGAATATTCATATTTCTCATAAATATGTAAATGGCATTCAATTTTGATTCTGGGTGCATCTTCCAGATGTGTGAATGTTTCTAAGTTCCTTCTAGTGACATTATCACTAAAATAGACCCAAGTGTGTGTATTGGTTAATTATAATTACAAAAAGGTTGTAACAAACAACCACAAAATCTCAGTGGTATACAACAATCAGACTTTATTCAGCTGGCGTCTCTGAGGCAACTAAAGGCTGATTGATCTACACTGGGCTCTGCAGGAAAGACTGGTTATGGTCCTGTGTCTCACACTCCCACTGAGAGCAGTGAGTCTGCATTGCTATGTACTTCTCATTGCTGTGGCCAAAATACAAGAAGGTAAAACCAGTTGCATAAACACTTGGAAGGCTCAGCCACATGATGCCCACTAGCATTCCATTGGTGATGTCAGGCGCATTTTCCATTTTCCAAAACACTGCAAGTGATGATTTTGTCATGTGTTTCACCACTAAATAACACATACCACCGTTTTTCCAGCTGCTTATGTTTTATCACCATTTTTCCTGTAGCATTCCCCTTTTAAGTATTGTTTTCTGTCAGTTATCTTTAGCTGCAGAAAAAAACTCAACAGAACAACACACACACACACAACCCATAAAATTCAGTTGCCTAAAACAATGATATATTTTGCCCATATGGATACAAAAAAGGTGGGCCAGCTCAGCTTGTCTCCATAGTAAGGTTGGGCTCAGATCTGCTTTATGTTTTTATTTGGGGACAGCATTTCCTCAGGGAAACTCTTTTCACAGTGATGGCTGAGACATAGAAGAAGAAGCCCAACCACACAGATTCTTTTCAAACATCTGGGTCTGTCCTATCTGCTAATATCCCATTGTCAAAGCCTAGAAACAAGGGTTGGGGAAAGCAGCTCTGCCCATTGAAGTAGAGAAAAGAGATTGAGCATTTTTTAACAATAATCTGATGCACCACACAGATGAGGATTGGCCATCTGCAAAGGTCGATATATGCTAATTACAACCAGAAGTAAACAATTATTTTCAGTGACTCACTCTGATAGACATATGGGCATACAAAAAAAATCAATAATTGAGGTATTAAAGGACTGGATTTCAATCCTAACTCTGTCATTTGTTGTACAAATGGATAAATTAATTTCAATTATTTTAAATAAAGATCCCAGTGAAATTGCTTCATTAAAACAAAACTGCAAATATTTTTTAAAAAGTATTTTTATATCCCCAGTAAATGATTGATTTCTTAAATTATTATGTAGACTCCTTGGCATTCTCTTTCATATCAAAGGATTCTTCATTCATATATAGTCACAGTATGAGGTTGGATAAAAGCCATGTTAAAATTAGAAATATATATATATTCATATTCATATTGTTTCCTTATATGGGAGGGAAACAATATGAGTAAGAGAATGAGAGAAATGCATGAATAATACAGGAGAAAGCAGGTAGAAAGTCAAATATTTTGATACTGGCAAAGTCATATGTTTAACCTACTCTAATGCTAATTGACAGAATAACAAATTAAACCGTTTTATTCAATATTTATAATTTTTAATAAGCTAGGAAAGTTTTCCTGTGATTATAAAGGTCATATACAAGTATAAAAATAAGGAAAATAGGAAATCAAAAATTGAATGTGTTCCTAAAATTATTTTTAAATTGTAAGTCTATTTTGCTTTTAATTCTTTATTTAGAATGCGCTCATCTTTGGAAAAAGAAATAGAACGACTGGAGTCAGCTTTGTCTGTATGGAAATGGAAGTATGAAGAACTGAAAGAATCAAAGCCAAAAAGTCTGAAAGAGGTATGGAGGCATACTATGTAGAGAAAGAAATGAAACTGACAGTTTTCTCTGTTCAGATGTGTAACCTAGTAGGCAGAAAGCTCCATAGACAAGAGGAAAAGTAAAAAATTGAATTTCCTTCACAAGAGGGATATTTTAACTCACATGTTCATGTGAACTCAGTCAAACTCAACCCATAAGAAATCTTGTTCTAAATAACACATATTTTTAATGATCAACATTACACAATTAACTATCCATTCCAGGCACATGTGAGGGGAATGCTAAAGAGGTCATTATACCATAGCACTTATAATAAACAATTTTATCTTATTCTTTTGTGTGACAGTATGAAAATACCAATATATCTCAAGTGCACCTAGGTTCTTTTCATATTGGCTTTATGGATTATTCAGGATCAGCGACTTGCCTTTATACTTTTCCTTTGCGTTTTCATCAATAAAATTCTGTCACGAACCTTTCCCATTTCAATGATTAATATTCATTGTTAAAACAATATTAATTGCACATCTTGTGTGTACCAAAGCATTGTTCTAGGTAAGCATGTGGGATAGAATAATGAGCAAAGCAAAGAAAAATCCTGACAAAATGATGACAAGCCAAATGCCTCAAATGAGTCAACATTTAGTTGGGTGTGTATATATGTGTGTTTATTTATATATGTATTACATTAATTATATACTATGTATTATACATTATATATTACATGTATATATACACACACACACACACATATATATGTCCATGCATACAAAGCATACGTATGCTGACCAGCTGTCTAAAAGAAGGTGAGTCTCTAAATCAAGTATGTAATTGTGCCTTAATCAAAAGCACTATTCCATCCGTTGTTAAAAAACGTGGTAAGCAGTATTTCTCTTTGTTTATGAAATCCCATATTAATGTTGCTTCAGGTTTGTTTCCAGCAAGTGGTAAAGTTTAGAGTCATCACGTTTGTTGAACTCACATGACGAACCTTAGTTGCCAACATAAGCCTGACTTAGGAGTCGTACGTAGGCGTTCTGACGTCCGTGGAGTATAGTAATGATCATGCACTGGCTCAGAAATAGTCAGCTATGTTGACACAGTGGACCCCTGAGATTTAAAATGAGGGAGAGCTTTTCCTAATATTATTAAGCAAATATCTCCTGCTTAAAAATAATTTATTAACAAAAGGTCATTTCAGTGAGAGCCACAGATGGTTAGTTTGAGAACATTTCTCAATGAGCCTAAATTAAACAATTAAAGCTAACAAGCCACATAAAGTTTACCTCTCCTTTATAGATTCACGTTAGATTGTCATAGTTGTTTTGTTTTTAGCTCAAGCTTTCGGTATATGTATATATGTATACACAATGTATGTGTGTGTACATATACACATGCATTTATATATGGATTCATAGCATTTATATTCACAGGTACTTAACTGAACATGATGTCTCTGAGTGTGAACAAGGACAGTAAATTAATGTTATACAGGAAAACAGTTCAGAATACAAGAATTATATATATTTAGAGTGTATGTGTATTTGCCCCTATAATTTAATGGGCTCTAAATTTGATTGAGAAAACTAATACTGAAGATAGAATGGGTTTTAAATTTAAAATAAATGTGCATTTACTCTTTCTTGCCACTAGTGGACACTGCAGACTTGACAACATTAGTTTCTTAATGCTTTTTTTCCAAGTAATTTAACATTTATGTAGCAACTGTTTTTGAAAAAGGCATGGTTTTGAGTTGGTTTACAAAGGATATGTATATTTTAAATGTTTAATGTTTTATATTCAAAGATGATATTTTGGACATTAAGTGGGAACTTGTCTACTTTAACAGAGCTTTATAGATGAGAAAAAATAAAACCAATATAGCATTTTACACTGTAAAATGGGTCTACATTTGATACACATACAGAAATATGTATAAGTACATATGTGATCCTTTTACTAGATAAAATTATAGAGGTTTTGAAACAGGGGAAACCTCAACATTGTTGTGAAAAATTTGTTCAACTATTTAAACTTTGAGCACGTTTCAGTTCAATGAACTACAAATTTGAACATTGAGTGGAAGTGACAATTAATAAAAAAAGTTTTACTGTAGATGATGGAAAGTTAATTTTAACAGAGAAAGAGAAAAAACATTATTTGATTTATTTATATGAGATTACTTTTTAAAATCTCTTTCTACTCCCTAAAAATGGAATTTGTGATAATCTTTAAAGCCTTTTTAGAAGAGATGTGATATGCACATATGTTTAAATTATTTTATAAAATATTGTGGAACATTTGAAAATATTTAAAAACTGAATAAGGAAAAATACTTTGTCACGTAATTTTTATGTATACTTTGTTTTATCATAGATTAGAACAAGAAGAATTTTGTGGTACATTTAAGATGGCATTGTAGAGTAATTATAAGTGTAAAATATTCAAAGTTTCTATTCAGTTGATTGACAATCTGGAAATGTGTCATGATGTATCCTTTGGAACTTCATGTGAATTCTCTTTTTTACTCCATTCCTCAAAAATTATGATAAATGACCTTCACTTTCACTGTAGCTCCTCATCTATAAAAAAATTTTGAATACAAATGTAATTCTGTTTTAGATGCCTGAAACTGTTACAAGCAAATACATGCCTGGCTAGGAACTGCTGATAGAAAGATTAGCAATTTTTAGAGATGGAAACAGATGTGCTTAATAGACCAAGGTTTTTAAAAATGTATTTGAAAGTCTGGCATCTTTAGAGGGAAATCATTCTTAAAGCACTGACATTTAGCGAAGAGTAAATATAAGAACTTAACTGTAAAATCTAATACGTATTTAAAACACAACCAAGACAATGAGTAGTAGAAATGATATTTCAAATGCTGTTCCCATGCTAAATTTAATACTTATTCAGCTTTTCCTTTGCACATGTGTAAGTACTGATTTGGAATTACAATATGAATTCCAATTTTTTGAAATGGTTATTTTCATGAAACCTCATGATCTAGAGAATAGAATATTTATGGAAGCAATATTGATTACAAATAATTATGAATACTCTGGTTTCTCTTCAGATCGTGTAAATCTTTTGCCTTTTACAAATAATTATGGTACTTTTGCTTTAACAATAAATGACTCTGATTCTTTCCATAATGGAAGATATCTTACCATATATGGAGAATACTGCTAACATTTTAAAAACTGAAAAATGAAATGTAACTTTAAAAATGAAATGTAATTTGTCTTTGAAAGTTTTGTACTCTTACTGGAATTTTTTTAAGGATTTTATTGAGGAATCTTCTATCTTTTTGTGATAATAACTGTTTCTAGTAATTTATAATTTACAATGTTCTTTTGTAATATTTATATTAAATACTTACAGAGACAAGCTTTGTGGGGCCATATACGGCACTAAGGGCCGTCAATAAAGCCTTATCTCAAATACCTCAAAACACCGTTCTGATTTTGGGGAAACAGAAGGTTAGAATTAGGATTATATGTAGCTAAAATTCTACACTATTACCTTTAATTTTTTTCAGAAATAAGATCTTTTCTAAATTTTTCTTTTATTTATTTTTTACTTGAAGTTTGGTTGAAGATACCTTCACTTTTTAAAAGATTATGTCAGTGGACACTTAGGTTGCTTCCATATTTTGGTGAGTGTAAGTAATGCTGCAATAGATGGAAGGATGTATATATCTTTGTGAATTAGTATTTCATTTTTTGGGTAAATACCCAGTAGTGTAATTATTGTATCATATGGTATTTTTATTTTTAATTTTTTGGGAAACCTCCATACTGTTTTCCACAGTGGCTGTACCAAATTACATTTCCACCAACAATACACGAGGGTTCCCTTTTCTCCACATCTTTGCCAACACTTGTTATTTCCTGTCTTTTTTATTTTAACCATTCTGACAGATGTGAAATGTATCTCACTGTGGCTTTGATTTGCATTTCCCTGATGATGAGTGATATGAGCATTATTTCATATGTCCGTTGGCCATCTGTATGTCTTCTTTGGAGAAGTGTCCGTTCATGTTTCCTGACCATTTTTAATTGGATTATTATTATAATTATTTTTTTTTTGGTGTTGAGTTGTATGAGTTCTTTATTTATTTTGGATAGTAACTCTTTATTGGATATGTTATTTGCAATATTTTCTCCCATTCAGGAGGTTGTCTTTTAGTTTTGTTGATTGTTTCTTTTGCTGTGCAGCAGCTTTTTATTCTGATGTAGTCCCAGTTTATTTTTGCTTTTCTTTCCCTTGCCAATATGACAGCTATTATGCATGCATAAGGAAAAGATCCTCAAAGATACTTATTTGAAATAGGTGGATGGCGAAGTGTTAGTACTGTTATGAGCTCAAAACTTAGTTTAAACCTCTCTCATTTTGCTATTTTTGTGGCTTAAAGAAATTACTCCATAGAAATGACCAAAATTTTTAATATATCTTATCAGTTCTAACCCTAAACTGTAGCTCCTACCATTGCTTTCCATCTCTGCTACTTTCCCAGTCATAACCATCAGATCTCCTACTTTGCCCCCTCCTGCCAGGTCTCTTATCCGTCACTGTTGAACTTTTTATTTTTCCATCCAGCAATCAGAGTGATATTTCTAAAAACACAAACTGGATCATATTACACCCTTGCTTCAAACACTTCATTGACTTCCCTTTTACTTAGAGTATAGCTGCCCTCCAAGTAATTGGAAGTCTAAGGAAATTTAAATCCACCTGGTTAAACCACCAGATGTTGACAATTCAAAGGATGTCTGATAATGATACCACTCTTTTCTACCCTAAACTGTTCTAACGAGCAGTGCCCCAAATTTCAGTGGATAGGACCCAACAGATGATTATTTTTGACTCACATATATGCCCTACATGTGTTTGGAGGGTAGCCTTCTCCTTCTATGTAGTGACTCTGTGCCCTGGGCTCTCAGAGGTCATGCAGCTGAGATGAACACTCTGCATCTGATCAAGATTAGGAAAGAGAATGGGGATCATATGGGGCT